GGTCTACGAGTGGGTGTGGGGAAGAGCAGGGTGGTCTACGAGTGGGGTGTGGGGAAGAGCAGGGTGGTCTACCGAGTGGGGTGTGGGGAAGAGCAGGGTGGTCTACGAGTGGGGTGTGGGGAAGAGCAGGGTGGTCTACGAGTGGGGTGTGGGGAAGAGCAGGGTGGTCTACCAGTGGGGTGTTGGGAAGAGCAGGGTGGTCTACGAGTGGGGTGTGGGGAAGAGCAGGGTGGTCTACCAGTGGGGTGTGGGAAGAGCAGGGTGGTCTACGAGTGGGGTGTGGGGAAGAGCAGGGTGGTCTACGAGTGGGGTGTGGGAAAGAGCAGGGTGGTCTACCATTGGGGTGTGGGGAAGAGCAGGGTGGTCTACGAGTGGGGTGTGGGGAAGAGCAGGGTGGTCTACGAGTGGGGTGTCAGGAAGAGCAGGGTGGTCTACGAGTGGGGTGTGGGGAAGAGCAGGGTGGTCTACCAGTGGGGTGTGGGGAAGAGCAGGGTGGTCTACGAGTGGGGTGTGGGGAAGAGCAGTCACTACGGCATTCTTTCCCATCGCTAGGCGCGTTCAAAAAGGTATCGGGTTACAAGACGCTGTTTTGGCCTGTTTTGGACTACCAGAAAAACACTTGAAAATAAACAAATAGTATTCAGTGGTAAATTTCGTCAAATTAAAATGAAATTATCGTGTTAACATCCTGTTCATGTTAGCTTTTTATGATAAATTATTGATTTTTTAAAATTTCGCTCAGAAAGACGATTATTTTCGGGTTTCCGAGCACAGGTCATGTCATGTTTTTAGGCAAACATCGTTCAAACCTGGCTACGTATATTAACCCGGATCCCCGATTTTTATATTTTTCGACGACTTTAAATAAGATCAAAAATCGTGTTTTAGGAATTTTTTAATTTCTGATTTTACGTCTAGTCTATGTCGACATATTGGTGAAAAAAATGCATTTTTTTTACATTTTTCTCACTAAATGACCCATAATTCAAAATTAAGGCCTTTTAAAAAAATTCATTGAAACACGATTTTCGGGACAACCGTTACGATCATTTTGAGCCGTAAATGGGGTATGAAATATAGTGTGTTTCTGTTTACTTGTCTTGTTTTCTTTGAACCAATTGTAAAAATCGAATACACAATTCAGGGGTGCATTAGCATTTCCTGCTTTTGTACGATTTTGTTTGATTGAATAAATTGAAAACAAAAATGAAATTGTCTCTACACATGACATGTAATGCTTAGTGTGTCCGCACGGATGGAAGCCCGAATTTCGCTCATGGACGATTTAAAAATCGACTCGGGTACAGACAAGGTTTTTGTCTTTTTGTCAGAATTAGTCATTTCTGTCCGAAAATTATTTTTGTATGGGATTATCCGACTTGAAAATTTCAAATTTTGTGCATTAATTTTGGAGTGAAAATAATGTTAATTTTACGATAATCAAAGAAGTTGAATAAAGTAAACTCAGGTACACCTGTATATACGTAGCTGAAAAGACTTTTATCCCATACACATACAGTAACGTTATTTTCCTTCCGAATTCCAAATTATTCCCCGGCAGACCGTTGCTAGACTTGAGGGCGGTGGAGCTTCGAATAGAAACGCGAAATAAACCGGGGTGTTACTTCAAACTCTTTCTAAAGCAACCTGTGATGTTCCAGAACAATTTTACCGCGCTCCTGCCTGGGTACGACTTGTTCTATCACCAGCAACGGCAGGGGAACGCAACGACGTAATGCATGAAAATTCCTCCGATTATTAGACGTAAACTACGCATATCAATAATTCTAAACGATATATACCTGAACCGTCCCTGAATACTAAAATGTAACGAAAAATTACAGGTTTTATTTTACATGAAACTAGTCAGTCTACATGAGAAGATGTGCGTTCCCCTGCCCTCCCCGTTGCCATGGTGCAGCATCAGTAACATTTCATCACACCTGAGATATACAAACAGGCGTGTGAAGTGAGACTCTGGTTCTACCAGACAAACTTACTGTCTTATAATCTCTTGGTGAAATATCGAGAAATAAACTCGAGCAACATACAATGGCAAACAAGAGAGCCCGAACCAATGAAGTCCAGACGGATAACGTTAACTGGCTGGTAAGTAAATGTGTTAAAATTTGAAAACGTTACGCCACACACCGCTAGTACTGCAGTGTTCTATCGTATAGAACTGTGTATAAAGATCATTTCGGCAATTTATTTCAAATACCGATTACATAAAAACACTGGGGAACTGTTAGGTATAATTACAATCTACTTGTAAACTTTTGACTGCACGGTTTTATGACGGCTTGAAGTTCCATATACTAGATTGGTGCTCTTAGTCGAACATATTTTAAAAGTGATGTAGGGCAATTGTTTAGGTAGTTACAATCAAAGTTCTCTCTCTGACTTTGCGTTGTTATCATTACTGTTTTATACAGCAAGGGGCCTTGGCCAAGAAGAGGCGTTGCCCGGCTAGCACGGCCCAGCCTAAGAGGAGGCACCTGTCACAGTGTCTCGATCCGAGGCTACAAAAATCCTACTACCCAGACCCGTTCCGCCCGACGCGGCCGACGCCCGTCACCCCGCCCGTGTTTCACATCAACCCCTTCCCGGCTGTGTACGTACCGACGCCCGCCGTTTTCCCCACCTTTGCGCCTGATCCTGAGCCGATGGACTGGCAGACCAGCGACTACAGAGAAATCCTCCTCCTGCCATGTGTCCAGCATCAGTCGGAAGAAGAAACCCCGATGGACTGGGAATAAGTTTACTACAGATGACTGAGAACTGCCGTGCAGGAGAGAATGTGGCCCGAGCCGCGCGCCAACCCGCAAGTTGACGAGGGATCAGAGCTGGCATCCCAAGAAAACCGCCGGAGAGAAGTTTCGTACCTTTTTGTGTGGACGAAACATGGCAGTTATCGTGTCCAACGTCTCCAGTGCCGTCCTGAAGTAGATGAGGTAGAACTGCCGCCATGGTAACAAACATTGAGTTACCACCAGGATCGGAGACATATCTGCCTGAACTTGGTGATGTTGTCCTCGCGCGCTGTAATCTTCTGTTGGAAACCGTGTAATTGTGGTCAAGGACATACATAGATATGCACGGTCTGTTTACACACTGCCAAGTTACTTTTATATGCTACAACAACTTCGAAAGAGCTCACAACAATTCGATCAGAACGTTCGAACAGAACGCAACGTTGCAATTGATCGAAATAGAACCTGGTAACACGGCCAGATTTTGACAAACTTCGTCGCTTTTGATCAATATTAGAGGGCTAGGGGTAATCAAGGAGTTGTTAGGAGTAGGGGCTGCTAGTATTTAAGAAATATTGGTGGAATATTACATATGAATGACTATTGCAAGTTGTACGCTTAGCCAGCACGTCTTTATACACTACGTGTTTCACGTGAAATTAGAGGTGAACTTCGAATTCCTTCTCGCACAAAATGACAATTGAACTTCTCTTTGAATGCGAGAATTGTGCCTATATTACAGCTATGAATGCACAGTTATGTTAAATACAAGAAGATAATAATATATTGTCTATTTGTTGAAAGTTTACCTGATTTATAATGAAACTTTAATGAAACAGCGTCAATGTATTGTACGTACAATTGCCCGTTCTGGGAGCATCTAAATCTGCAGTTGGTGGCCTTTCAAAATGTAACGTTTCTATATATGATGCTATATACTAGTAGTAACGACGTTACAGTAATATGGTGGCTGACAGTTCACTGATTTGTTTTTCTGTTCTTTGCTTGAGTGACATTATTATAAACGTCTTTTGTTCTAACGTAGGTTGTATTTTTCGTGTATTTTGTCTCTGTTCTATTACAAACCGTGGCAGTCTTGTCCTAGCTGGAATAGTGTCAAAA